ATTTCTCGAGAAGAGATGAGGATTTCTCTTGTATGTTAGGGGATGAGGATTTCCCATGCATATCGATAAATCAACGGCGATCGGGGCGTTAAAAAACATATTAGTTATATGTAATTTTTAAACAATCGAAAATATTTACACACTACGTACACATTTAGTGATGTATAAATTCAAATATAAATATTTATGTTCTATGCTTAAACAAAAATGATTATGTATAATTTTTAAAAATTCATTTACAGTAATAAAAAATTCCATTAATACAACTAAAATGTTTTTTTTTTAAATTTTGATAATTAATTTTGATTAGTTATAACAATATACATGCTTTTTAGTTTAAAGATATCTTAAAAATTAGTTTAACAAAATATGCATTATTTGTAGAAGAAAAATATTGTAATATGAATTTTTTAGATTTGCATTGTTTGTAGGTTTTGGTCTTTCTGTCTTGTACGTTATCAATCCCCCCAAAAAAGCCCGGTTTGACAAATTGATTTCGCATTTTTGGTTTACAGTAGGAAACGACGCCGTCTCAGTATCTTCCTTTTATTTTGGATTAGGGCAAAATTGACGAAGGTTTCCTCCTCAAACCTTAACCTTCCGCGCGCGCTCCCAAGACAAAAGCCAATCTCGCTCTCGCATCCATCTCTGTTCTAAGTTTGATCATCATGGCGACTCGTGCTGATTCTCGGGCTGTCAAGTCACTTAGCAACTCTGAGGGAAGGAAGAGATTTGTGGTTCGTCTTCTCGTTTCACTGACATGAGTTTGTTATCTTTGGTGCATGCTCTCTAATTACGGTTTTGCAGTTCAAGAATTTCGACGAGAGATTGACTGGCATTGAAAGCAAGGTTCTCACAGTCTTTAGGAGCCTCCATAAGGTGAAGGATGAGCCTTCACAGGGTTCCACATATCTCAAGGATTGCCTCGTGGAATCGAGGGTATGTTTGATCATGTTACCTTAGTGTTTCCTTGTCAAGTTTATAATTTTTTCTTCTGAAAATTCAGTTTATGTACGATGGTTGAATGATGATAATTCACATGATTTTTCCTGCTTCTGCTTGTCTATATCAAATAG